AACATTATTTGAAATCAATCAAAAATGTTCAACAATCAACAAACAAAAATTTTAAATCTAAAATATCAACATCATGTCGGAATGAATATTTGATAGTAAATACAAAGAATTAAAAACTTTCAATATAAGAATTACAACATCAATCTAAAAATTTAATTTAACAGGGCCAAAAGTGCAACAAGACTCAAATTACAGAAGTTTTGTATGATGCAGATGTTGGCTTATATGTAAATCATTTATCAAACACATTCTTTAGCAATTGTAATGTGACAGTAAATGGTAGTAATAGTAATTGTATAGTATTGTTAAAAATACAGTTCAAGTTAATATATATATATATATATATATATATATATATATATAAAAATTTAAATGACTTATTATCAAGTATTTTTTATATTTCTTGATCAAATAATTTAATGTTTTTTTGTTATTTAAAGTATTCTAATAAGATGTTACTAATTAAAGTTCTATTGTTCTGTATTTATTATTAAGTTTAAATAAATGTTTAAATTTTTTATTATAAAATAATATAAATTTTATGTGCGACTTAAATTAAACATAAATACAATAATCGGCTAGTTAAGTCCTGCATGAGTATGACTTAATGTGGTTTTAAGTCACCATGTACTATAATAATATTTAAGATGTTAAATCATTCAAATTAATAGTGCTGAATGGTAAATAAAAATTATTTATATGACTTATGAGTTAATTATTTAATAGAAATACATATTTGATGCAATTATGTATTATAAAATCCAATCCATTTGTTAGTTTTATTTACCAAAACTGGGAAAACTATAGAGTAGGTATGTGTGGCAGATAAAACAATAGGCATATTCTTTTAAAAGTTAAGTGATTTACTAGTCTTTAATTTATCTGTCGCCATCGGTCATCTGTGTCTACCACTGCGTTACAGCGTATTAGAACAGAAAGATTACAAGATGAAGGTGAGAAAAACAAGTTTAAATGTAGACTGAAAGAAAACGTAAGTGGTTTGGATGAATTATGTATGAATGAGTTAGACTTGGAGAATGTATGGCAAAATATTAAGAAAGGTTTAGTAGATGCAGCTACCGAAGTATGTGGTGTTAGTAAAAGAAAGAATGAAAGGAAAAATAATACTTTGTGGTGGGATGATGAGATACGTACGGAAGTTGGAGCAAAGAAGAGAGCATGGCTAGATTTACTAGCAACTAAGGCTGGTAATTCTAGCGGTACGAATGATGATTTTGTAAGAAAAAAGGCAGTCTTTAGACATCTAAATAAAAGAGTAAAAGAAGTAGTTGAAAGGAAAAAGCAAGAAAGAACAGATAAGAATGATAGAAGAATATCGGATAACTTCCAGGCAAATATTAAAATGTTCTGGAAACTCGTAAGAACTGCCAGGGGACATTCAAAACAGCCTATAATGAATGCTATAAGAGATGAGAATGGCTATATTCTGAATGATGAAGTTTTGAGTTTTAAAGAGATGGAAGGAATATTTTGAAAGCATGTTTATGAGTGAGGAGACAACGTATGAACTGAATGAAATAGGAACTCCGAAAGAAGAGAAAGGAGGTAGCGAGATAAGTATAGATGAAATAATGAAAGCAATGAAAAGCATGAAAGCAGGTAAGGCTGCCGGTTATGATAGAGTTTCACTCGAAATGTTAAGGGCTGGAGAGGAAGTGGTGGCAGGCCTGCTGCACACCTTGTTTAATGTATGCTGGGAACTGAAGCGGGTACCGGGAGACTGGTGCAAAGCCGTGATAGTCCCAGTATATAAGGAAAAAGGGTCGCAGCAGGACTGTAAAAACTACCGCTGTATCAGCCTTCTTAGCATCGTGGGAAAATTGTATGCCAAGGTACTAATTGAAAGGGTCATGAAAGAAACCGATGGAAAAATTTGGGATGTGCAAGCGGGATTTAGAAAGGGAATGGGATGTACAGATCAAGTCTTCTCCATGCGCATGATCGCGGAGAAGTTTTTGGCCAAAAACCAAAAGGTTTTTTGTGCGTTCATGGACTTGGAGAAGGCCTATGACAGAGTGGATAGGAATGTGCTATGGCAAACACTGAACTCATTTGGGTTGAGCGCTGGCTTGATACAGGCATTGGAATCTCTTTATAGGGACTCTAGTGCTTGTGTTAGGATCAACGGGGTCTACTCCGACTGGTTTGGCATCCATAAAGGTGTCAGACAGGGCTGTGTGGCTTCCCCGTGGTTGTTCAACCTATTTATGGACAGTTGTTTGCAAAATTTGAAAGTTGAAGAATGCGGATTAAGAATGGGTGAGTTAACCATCAAATGCCTTTTGTACGCCGATGATCAAGTTATTCTTGCGTCGTCGGCGACTGAGTTGCAAATAATGGTTACATTAATGAACAGATCATTGAAAGAAAGGGGTATGAAAGTGAACGCAAGTAAGACGAAAATTATGGTTTTTGAAAGAGATGAAAGTAAAACGATATGTGAAATAAGAATAGAAGGTGAGTTGATCAAGCAAGTAGATGAGTTTGTATATTTGGGTTGCGTATTTAGCAGGGATGGGAGATATGATAAGGATATAGAACGACGAGTGAACGCAGGAAACAGAGTAAATGGGGCCCTGCACTCTATTGTGAAGAGTCAAAATGTGTCAAAAAAGGCACGTATGGCAATTCACAATGCTGTGTTGGTTACCTACCTACCTACCTACCTACTTTAACGTATGGTAGTGAAAGTTGGGTGTGGCAGAAGAAGCACGAGAGTAGAATAAATGCAGTAGAAATGCGGTCGTTAAGGAATATGTTAGGGCTGAATCTGAATGACAGGGTGAAGAATTGTGTGATAAGAGAGGAGTGTGGTTTGCAAGATGATGTTGTGACCAGGATTAAGAAAGGAATGCTTCGGTGGTTTGGTCATGTGGAAAGAATGGATGAGGAAAGAGTGACAAAGAAAATTTATGTTGCAGAAGTGAATGGCAGAGTCGGAAAGGGACGTCCTAGGCGAAAATTTATTGACCAAATTGGCGATTTATTGAAAACGGGCCAAATTAGGAGTACCCTTAACCGACGAGCATGCATGCGTAGATGTATGGATGTGAAGGAGGCGAGAGAGGTGTGTCAGGATCGTGCCAAATGGAAGTCTGTAGTCTCTGCCTACCCCTCTGGGTGACAGGCGTGAGTGTTTATGTTATGTTATCTATAAAACCTAAATAACAGTTGAACTGTCTATTAGGTGTCTGTTAGTCATGGAATATCTTCAAAATGCCTGAACCAATTTTGGCCGTAGAGGATTTTGCAAGGAGTGATCTTGGTTATTTTTTTATTTTATTATTTTAATTTAAACAGTGTTAATAATGGCAGTTAATTCAAGTTAAACAGTGTACCTACAGGATTTCTAATAAACCCAAATTGGCACTAATGTCACAGACAAAAGCTAATTAGAATTATAGTAATTTTATTTTATATGATATAATATGATAACACATTTTTATCATGATTAACTTACCAATAGCTAATGTGTCACTGTCAATTTCTACACTGATGGATGGCAAAACATTTGGCATGACAGCTATAACTTGAGACTCCAAAGGTCCCATATCTGGTGGAGTTGGTCCTCCGCCTGTTCTCTTCCTTTGGGCCTCCAGAGTCTTGGCATCCCTGGCTTTGGTTTTTAAATTTTGCCACATCTTTTTTATTTGTTTAGTATCAGCCTGAGAATGAATAGTAGACAAGTATTATAAATGGTGTCAAATGTCAATGTTACATGTGGCACAACTCTAAGCTATTATAGGTAAGTATTTAATGTATCTGTAGGAAGAATTTATAATTAAACTTATTTGTGTGCCTCTGTACGTTCGTATAGTATCAGTATGAGACTCGGACTAACACGAAAATTACGCCAAATAACTAAAAACATTTCAAAAATTAAATTATTTAGGTACTTTTACTTACAATTTGTGTGACGTTTGAATTGTTGAACTGCGAGGTAATTTCCTCCCAAGCTTCACTTTTTTTGTAAGGGAAATACCGTCCGTCTTTCTGTTCTCTATAATATTGATTTTGGCTTGAACCAGTTGTATCAGCAATTGTTTGTCGTACTCCGAGTAAGGCTTTTGTTTCCTTTGTGCGCTTTCCATTTTAGTAGTTTAGTGCTTCGGAGTCCGTAAAAGATTAGCCGTGAGTCAGTCGTGTAGCAGGTACAAAATCCGTTAAACAGGTAGCCGTGGTCAGTCGTAAAAGAAGTTACAGAGTTAGTTAAACAAGCCGAAAATAACAAGTTGAAAATAGGGATAGGGAAGTATCGTTCTATTAATAAGGTAATCTAATTCGAAACAGCAACTGGCATAGAATAGAATAAACCAAAGTTTTTAGGTAATTGGTGATTGGTGCGGAATGACTTTAGTGTTGCCATGGACAATTCTAATTTTTCCTTTGGAGTCATTTTTAAAATACATTTTTATCGAAGTAAAAACGCACACAACCTTCAAAATTATTTTAATATATATAAAAAAATATGTCATCAATTTTTTCGGTTTTCACATCGTATCACGTTATCATTTATAACAGCATTGATGTTAAATTTTTACGTTAAAGTTTTACGATTTCCTTAATTGCATGAAGTTCTCTCCAACCTGGCATCATTGCAGTTGAGAGAATACGACAAAGTAGTTATCAGTTGTACGTAATGTAAAATAATTTTGGACCATTACTTTTGTTAGGGTAATATCCTGAGTTTTTCTTAAGTCGTCAATTTCGTTGACTCAGGCTTTGCTTAGCGCGCACTCAGTACGACTTCGAAGTTAGTTCTATAAATACCGACTTTGTCTTAGCTGGAAAGTAGAGTCCGAGCAAAGTCAAAGTACGGTTTATAGTTTGTAGATCTCAGCCTTAATCTAACACTATGACATATTATGTGACTAAGAATTCCAACGTGGATTAAAATGTATTTAACCGAATCTAGCAATTATACGCACACTAATTATGATTAAAAAACATATAATTTGTAAAAATATAGTAGGGCTTACCGGATTGCAAACATTTTGAGATAATTTTTGTACTGGTACACAACTAACAACAACTAAACTGCTGCACTGCAAACCAGAAGAAAGAAAATGCACAGAGTACCTTTGTATAATAGTCGTTAGCTGCCACGGGTCGTGAGTACACTTTGTATGTGTATTTGTATGGACCACAGAGTACTTTGAATCAGAATTCAGTATAGAATAATTCTATGGTTCTATCGTATGTCGCCTCTACACGTTGGCCAACACAGTGGCGAATGGAGTGGCGAATATATTGGCCGAGAGTTGGTGACGGCGTCCACACGTTGGATGGTCGTTCAGTTTACTTCGGTTCGGGCCAATGTGCGGACGAATTTATAAGCACCGTGGCGCAGTGGCTCAGCAATGAGTGGCTGCGCCGAGCGCCGCGGGTTTGATCCCGCACGGAACAAGTATTTGTATGTCCTACAAATAATTGTTTCGGGTCTGGATGTGTGTCCTTGTGCAATTTATGTTTGTAAACTGCCTGCGCGATACGAGAGAAAATCCTAGTATGGGGTTAACGTTTTTATAAAAGAATTATAAAATAATAGTGGTTATTAATGAGGCTGTAAATAAATATACGATATACAATTAGCTTTATTCATTTTTTACATGCATCATAAACTGGAATAAATACCATTAATAAGAACTTAACTTATTTTAAAGTTAAAGGAGTTATAATCGATTAGTCTATGTTTTAAAATTGGGTTTTGATTTTAAAGTTTAGCAAAATATGTACCTACTTGCATTTCTATTATACATTTGATGTATATAAAAAACACTATATAATTTATTTGGTAATTTAATTATTTTTTGAGAAAGACAAAAACAATAGCAATAAATATAATTAACATTGACTTAATAATAGGTACTAATTGTAACTTAGAACATAAATGAAAAACTCATGACGAGCAAAGTGGCTCAGGACCATGCTTTACGGCTGTCTGTGGAGGAGGATGTTCAGTAGTAGACTTGTGAACAGCTGTAATGATGATGATGATTCGAAATCTTGCACGATTAAATTATAAGAAATCGTCGTTTTTTTATAGGATAGTGTGACAAACGAGTACACAGTTCACCTGATGGTAGGTGGTTACTGTGACCCACAGACATCTACATCTATTCTCGATTACGAATCAAAATGCAGACACTCACTATACGAAACACAGCATCATTAAGCTACTATTTTACGCTGATATTCTGTGAGAGCGTGGTCCTTCCCCGGTCGAGCCGACCCATTCGTGCTACAACTATACTTCTAATATAACTGCATGGTTCTACCACATATAAACGATGTGCTTCATTTCTTTCATTTTCAAATTGTCCTCGTAATAATCTGATTGTAAATAAATGTTCATTATTTGTTTTGATAAATAGCTTATCGATTAAAACAAATATTTAAAAATAATTAAATCGCGCTAATAAAAGTAGTAGTTGAAATTAGCACTAAAAGGCTAATAGGGGCACCACCCTACAAAGCGTGAATATAAAATTTAAATCAGGTGCGTGTAATCACTCCTTCCCCGGTCGAGCCGACCTTCGTTCTGCAACTATACTTCTAATATAATTGCATGGTTCTACCACGTATAAACGACGTGCTTCATTTTTTTTTCATTTTAAAATTGTTCTCGTAATAATCTGATTGTAAAAAAACGTTAATTTTTTTTTGATAAGTAGCTTATTGATTAAAACAAATGTTCAATAATAATTAAATCGCGCTAATTAAAGTAGTAGGAATGTTTAAAGTTGAAATTGGCACCTGGTTATCTACACTCACTATACGAAACACAGCATCATTAAGCTACTATTTTACGCAGATATTCTGTGAGAGCGTGGTCCTTCCCCGGTTGAGCCGACCCATTCGTGCTACAACTATACTCCTAATATAACTGCATGGTTCTACCACGTATAAACGACGTGCTTAATTTTTTTCATTTTAAAATTGTTCTCGTAATAATCTGATTGTAAATAAATGTTCGTTATTTTTTTTTTTGATAAATAGCTTAACGATTAAAACAAATGTTTAAAAATAATTAAATCGCGCTAGTTAAAGTAGTAGGAATGTTTGAAGTCGAAATTGGTACTAAAAGGCTGGTAATTGGGGCATACACCCTACAAAGCTTGAATATAAAATTTAAATCAGATGCGTGTAATCACTCTGGGAGCTTGTAGCAAACTAAACGCGCGGCCAACGTGTGGACGCGGCGACCAAACTCTGCCAACAATCCTTTGATCTTTTGTAAAAAACCGACACCACACGGATCTCGCGCCAACTTGCGGGCCATCGTTCCAATACATACCAATGAAGCCCAAACACCCCGTCTACACGTTGGCCAATGCTATTGGCCACTACATTCGCCACTGTGTTGGCCATCGTGTAGAGGCGCCGGTAGACAGATAAACCTAGGTTTCTCTGCCTACGAGTTCTATGTATGTGTGCAGAATATCCAAGTCCAAATCATAGATTACTGTGTGTATACTAGAGAGTCCAAACACAGACTAGCAGACTACTAAGCAGTAAGCACAGAACACCATAGATAAATAAATATGTAGCAAGCTACAGAACACTCACCACAGAATTTAAATAATTTGTTGTAATTGTCATTATATTGTTGTTTTATTTTAAGGGTGTGTTAGATGTTTTATTAACTTTGGCATAGCAATATATTTACGAAAATGTAATGTATGTGCATAAAAACACAAATAGCTTTCATAAGAATAAAGATGTTTATACAATAGGAACAAACATAAGCTCGTAACACCAGTTACTAGACTCCACTGAGTCAGTAGTGCTTTTATGGGGCAACATATACGCTTTTAAAACAAAATTTCAGAAAATGTACAAAATTTGTCAATAAGTTGAAATGTTTTATTAAAGGAAAAATGTACAAAAAGTATCATGCATATGAATCTTAATTCTTTTGAAATAAAATTTCCCATTTCGATAAGTATCAAATAAAGGAAGTTATTTTTTATTTTAAATTTCAAAAGCATTCTTGCTGTCTTTGTCCTATTAACTTAATTATTGCTTACTTTGGTGTTAATTGTAAATTGATCATAGACACCATTTAGTCATGTTTGTTATAAATCTTTTATTATATATATTTTTTTAATTACTGCCATCGTAGCATTTTTGCAAAATCTATAACTAGTTGAGAGCTTAATATGAACTTTATCTCCTTTATCATCAAACCAAAACATTTTCATGGTCATGGTCATATTTTCACTCTTAACATCCTCAGTCCTCAAAACCTATGACATTTGCATTGTAATGTAGTGAGGAGAACACTAGCATCTCATCAAGCATTTAGAAACACAAGCACTCTGCCATGCTCAAGCGTTCTTCTTTCGTTTGCTTAAATATAATTGAGTTTATATCTGGCTTAATTAGTATTTATGTAAGGACATTTTTAATGTTCGTCTTTGCCAAACAATTTGTCTTCGAAATTGTACTATCTTCCACGATATTCATATTATGCTGTACTAACTGCACATTCAGGAATATGTGGGTGTGCCACAGTCAACGATATCAGTTTTATTGAAATATTATTTGTTAGTATTATTTTTGTTGCTTTATGTGATTATATGGTACCTTCCACAATTTATTAGATTGATTATAATTTCGCAAATGGTTTGTGAGGTTGTCTTATGTATGAGTATGTTATAATACATATATAAAATGCTGATTTTGTAAAAAAAATATATTGATTTACACAATGGTATAGTGGGCATAAGAAAGTCACTTTTGTAAATTGTTTGTATTTTTAAAAGTATAGTTATTACACACATTTAAAAAAAAAGTTTTGTTACTAAAATATGATAACATTATCAAGTACATATTTTAAAGATTAATAAAGCTGCTACAAAATGTATCTTTTTATATTAAGTTAAAGATTTACCACTATTAACAATTAATTGATACTAATTCTTGAAATTATGGAAAAGAAGCAAACCTTTGGAGAGGATTCAATTATCAATATGCTCTTAAATGGGAAGTAGTTAAGTCTTGTGGATACCACAGTTTTTCTTAGTATTAGACATTGAAGCCACATTTGTTTTATAAAAGAGAGCCGTACGTTCAATTTATATCTTAAATTGTAAAAGTCGCGTAGAGAAAAATTTAAAGAAATAAATATATTAACTTTGGCATAGCAATAATGTATGTATTGTTGTACATATATTATATTTATATATATACTAATGTATGTACATAAAAACATAAATAGCTTTCATAAGAATAAAGATGTTTATACTTTAAAAACTAAGAACAAACATAAGCTTGTAACACCAGTTACTAGACTCCACTGAGTCAGTAGTGCTTTTATGGGGCAACATATACGCTTTTAAAACAAAATTTCAGAAAATGTACAAAATTTGTCAATAAATAAGTTGAAATGTTTTATTTAAGGAAAAATGTACAAAAAGTGTTATTATAATATCAAAAAATACATCAATAATAACCCCTGGGATTGAGGTGATCGCCACCATGCCTGTACTATTAAAATTTATTTAAAAAATGTATAAACAAAATGATTGTAAAGTGAAATATGTTTTAAAAAACGTCCCGCTGGGTTTCTTGTTGGTTCTTCCCAGGACAGAAGTATCTGTAGTAAATAAAACATGACTTTCAATAAGTATTATGTAATAATCTATATTTAATAATAATAATTCTATTGTATTGTATTCTCTGTAACATAATATATTTCCTAATTTAACTAACCAGTTAAAAAGAATGTGTTTAAAGAAATCAATTGATATTGTGCAAATATTGTTAAATTTAACACATCATCATCATCATAATGTTATTAATTTAGGCAAGAAATTTTTAAACAATAAACATTTTAAATATATCCGGTTTTTATTTTATTAATAGGAACTAGCAATTAGCACAAGAAATATAAAGAACCATTAATTACATTGCAGCACTTGTGCAATGTAATTAATGGTTCTGAAAATATAAAATTGTAAAGTGCAAATAAAGGGCGGGCCCAAAGCA